GAATCTTGCTGAAAATTCCTCCCATTGTTAGACCTCGAAGAAAGGCTGGTGTTGTTTTGCGTCCTGTGCTTCTCGTTCGCCTTAATAGCAAGATGATACAATTGGGAAAAATTGCGCCATTCTTTGTAATCAAGTATGTTACAGTATATCATGGTTTAAACCACCAAAAAATCTAGCACTAGCATCATTATCATCTTCATTTATACCACAACGTGCTAAACCAATAAGCAATTCTTGATAGTATGCTTCTACTCCTTTATCACCTTGTTTTAAAGTTTGTAGTTTCAAGCGTAAATCACGTTGGTAATAAGGAGGAACAAAACGAGATTTCATACGTTGCTTTAAAACATTCCAAGTTTGAGGCACAAAGCTGACATTATTGGCATTGCAAAGATCACTCCACCGAACAAAGCAAAATTAGTAAACTCACTAGTAGCAAGTCTAACTCTATGCTCGGTGAAACATTATGAGAATCAAATTTTTGTTGAACAGCAAGCTCCCAATCTAAATATGCCTCTGGATCAACATTACCAAAGAAAAGGAGGTAGACTAAATTTAATTTTAGCAAAAGGATCATTATTACCATGATTATTACCTTCCATACCGCGATGATTGAAGTTGAGGCGGCGACGGGCACCACCATCGGATACGCATCTTCATCACCAAAAGCATCGCATCTTCATCATCAAGACGATAAGGTGGAGGCGTTGCTCAAAGGCTGTTCAATGCGGGTGACCAGATTGTTCACGTTCTGGCGTCACTCGGTCATAAGATTGCGTTGTTCGGGTCATGAACGTTGTAAGCTCGCCTTGGACATGCACTCATTGAAGTCCGTCGGAGTTCCTGCCATGGTTAGAAGATAGAAAAAGACAACACCAAAGTATTATCCCTATCAACCAAAAGAAAACAAGTGGTGGTGGTGGTGATGGTGGTGAAAGTGGAATGCAAAATCACAAGCGGCTTACCACCATCTTACTCATATTCTTACCAACGCGTAAACAGAGCAAAACCAAAGTGGCGAAGCAATCTGTTGTGGAGCGGGTAGTAGCGAGTTGCAAGATGAACCTGTCTTGTGGAAGAATATGTGGAGCTATGGGTAGGCACACAATATGACAGCAAGGATTAGCAATTAACGAATGCAGATTAATGATTGTTCAATCCAGATCCAAAGTATAAATCATGAGTTTGGCTAAGGACGTGACGAGGCGTAAGCGCAACAAGGTGAAAACAAAGGACGATCGAAAGAACTCACGGAACAAGCGGCCGGGTTTCTCCTTTTTTTTCCAAAAGGCACTAATAGGAAACGAACTTTTTACTTTTTTCACTATTTTTATATACTTTTCTCCGAACAAGGATCACAAAAGATGCAACCACAAAAAAATTGGCACCTACAGGCGAGGTGGGATGTGGTCTGAGAAATTTAGCACGTTCTCTGAAAAGCGTGCAAAAACTTTGACAATTTTTTTCTATATTTTCCTGAATTTTTTTGACAATTCTGATGAAACCAAACAGGGCGAAGCCGAGTTTGGGTCAGCTCCAAATAGTGTCAAGAAGCTGCTGAAAAAATATCAGATTTTTTCGGATAAACGAGCGAAAAGTTATACTGTTTTTTAAAGGTATCTCAAGGTATGTTTTCCGGGAGGCACAACACGGCGGCGGCAGTTAGGGCAAAGCGTCCCGAAACTCTAACACCGATCACAGGATTGTCACTGTGACTAACAGTAGTAGGTATTCGCTTGATGATGTAAGGAGGGCTGCGATGCAGGCAAAATAAGAGCGGCTGGCAACCTATCTAGGGTTTGCGTGGCGGCGAGAAGTTACACAAGGCGGCTAGCGGGCAAGTCGAGTAATGTGGTGGCTTCGACTTGTTGTTTGGGAACGGTGGATGGGATAGCGGCGGAAAACAAAAATCACAGCAACGGGCGATTGAACTACGACCACGAACACAATCCTAAACCAGCAACAAGACTCGACCACGGACACAAACTCAACAACATGAATCTGAAACGAAATTGCAAAGGCACAAAGAGCGATAGGACAGCGGAAATTAAAATATTTTTGGGCTTTTTGTAGACTCTAGGTAATGAACAAATATGAATCTAAGGCAAACGAGATTATACCTCGCGGTAAACCTAAAATATCTGATACCAATTGATGGGTACAGGCCCGATCTTCCGAGAGGTAGCCGGTAAGTTCGATTTGTGGAGATCTCAACGTTGGCGATCCGGCTTCAAATCAGACGCGATTCGAACCCTGCAACCGTTACACCATTGCTCCGTTGGTTATCAACCAAGCACAACTTGATTGACCTCGCCAAGAAGGCTTTTCCTGCAAGCGAATCGAAGAGCACAAGCAAGAAGGTAAAACACGCAATCTGATATTGCAAATATGAATGACGCGAATATCAATAGAGGGTTCTAGAACTCGGTTCCAAAGGACTAATCGACACGATGGAGGAGATCAAGAACGGGGCCCCGGATCTTTGTAAAAGGATTTGTCACCACAGTTACAATGAACGATTCAGTTTCTCGATGGAAAACTAAACTCTAAACAAAACCTAATTGTGTAGCAGCGGCGGCGGCTGTGTTTATAGTCTAAGACTCGACCTAGGGTTGGGGACGACCAGGGGTTGGGCACCCACAACTTGGGCTTAAGGCCCGACACGATACATGGCCAAGTTGGCCCAAATAGGTGATGCAGCACCTTGCTGTGGTCACACAGAATGATCCATGGACCTTCTGGAGCTGGGACCAGATCCAAAACGGCGGCGTCGTCGTCCCCTTTCCAACGCATCCAAGAATGGCCCGTTTCGATGTCGTATGAGAAAGTTATGACCGAAACAGTGACGACGTGTCTGCTGAATCCGAGGGCGACGTGGCAGCTGAGTTGGGAACGAATTGCAACTTGGGGAAGACCATGACGTCGGTGTGTCCAGCATGGCGATGTCCTCATCATCCTCCCCTTCTCGAATTGGAGTCGTCCTCGACTCCATCTTGGCGATGTCCTCATCACTTCCAGCCCAGCTGCAATTACCAGAAATAAGAAGCAACTGCTGCTGGAACGAACAAAGGTGACTCCATCATGTTTTGATGATGCATTGGTGCTATACTGCTGAAAAACACCTTGGCTTTTGTGGTATGAAATCAATTGGATGCAACCCTGTTTGGATGGTATGAAATGCTGATGTAATGGAGTTGTAATATTTTGCATGATAGTTTATGGTACTTGCTCTGGACAAACTACTGATGTTAGATGAAATTGTGGTTTATGGTTTGCATGTTGGTGAACAATCTGAACCATGAGCACTACTTATGTTTGTAATATATTAAGGTTTGCATGTTGGTGAATGAACCATCTAAGAATTTTATATTTCTAGGCTGCATCCATCCATCCATCGTTGACTCATTCATTGATTGATTCAAGCATACAAATATAGTGACACACACATACATAGGACCTTACTTCTTCATAATTGCATACAAGGCAAGGTAGATGCCAACAAAGATCAGCTTCTCAATTCATCTGAGCTGCTGCATAACCCTATCTTGCACTACTCCACTAGCCTGACCACCATCCTGGATGAGAGCCATTGGAGAGGGAACTGAGTGGAGAGAGAATTGAGTGTGGGAGGGACCTCAGTGTTGTCTATTTATAGGAGCCACCTGGGGAGAGTTTTTGGCACCAAAGGCCCATCAGATTGGCGCCAAAACACTATCAGATAGCCTCTTCTTCCGGAGGGCGTGCTTGTCTTTTCCCCATCCGTTAGCCACAGTTAACGCTGCATTTGGACGGAATGGTTTGTAAGGCAAAGCAGTTTAGAGCAGTGGCACCTATGTGCGATCAATTTTTTTAATGGCTTGTGTGTAATTATAAACTTTTTTAATGGCACACAGGTAAAAGGCTCAACAAACATATATGTAGCTAGGCTAACACAATGCAAACAACTAAACAACTGCGAATTGGCTTAGTTGGAGCAGGCTAAGGCTAGCCTGTCTTAGTTTTGGTAGCCAGGCTGGTCTAGGAAACTAAGGTCCAGTTTAGTTTGCAAAAAAATTTATAAAATTTTTCATATTCTCCGTCACATCGAATCTTTGGACGCATGCATGAAGCATTAAGTATAAATAAAAAATAAAACTAATTACACAGTTTAGACGAAATCCACGAGACGAATCTTTTAAGCCTAATTAGACTATGATTGGACACTATTTGCCAAATAACAACGAAAACGCTACAGTACTCATTTTGCAAAATTTTTTTGCATCTAAACAAGCCCTAACCAAACACACCCTATGTCATGATGATATCAAGGAGATAGCTTTGCATCTCTTTTTTTTTAATGTACTTCAAGTGCAACTAGATAGTTCATCCTCGGCGTTCAGTGAAAGATTCAGGTTACTATTTGTCAGATGATAGCGCAGAAAAAGGCTCAACCTTTCTTGATGGATTTTTTTATGATTAGCGCCTGGTGCATTTGGAAGGAACGTAACGATTGCATATTCAACCACAAGGTCCCTTCTCCTTTGGCTTGGAAGCAACGTTTTATAAGTGAGGTTAAGCTTCACTTATGTCGTTTTAACCCGTCACCACCATGTAATTATTTAATGACTAGCATCTCTGTAATTTGGTACCTTCTTTTCCTCCTCGGACGGTTTGTCCTTCTCTTAGCTAACAGCTATGTAACTTCTATTTGTTTTTTTTATATATTGTTCGGTGCTCGGAGCTTTGCTCCATTGTTTCTCTGCAAAAATAAAATAAAATAATAGATGGTTGATCCCATTCAACCCCTATTTGCATTTATAGGAACTAACTTATATGTATACTATATTGCTTAACGAGCACTCGTATATAAGCACTTCTCATTAATTAAACATGCCCTTATGTATTAAAAACATACAGTGGGCTACTAGTAACACCTTGAATTTTAAAAACATGTATGTACTCTAGTCTAACTTTGTAGAAGGCTAACAAAAAAAAATATCACTTTGTGTCTGCTATAATTGCTACACCACCAATTTTGGTGGGAAAATCCATGTCAGCCATGTGAACAAACATCTCAACCATGGCAATCTAAATGGCCTACAAGTCCATAATCTAGTGTCGAACACATCATTGGTGTCATCAAAATATATGAAACCTGCTTGTATATCTCCAAACACTATAGTAGATTTGCAAAAGCCTCGGCTAAGGAAGATGGCCTCATCTTTGGCGAGCCCATCTCGAGCGACTGAAATCCACTCACCCATGTTGACATCTGCTTTAACCACCTTGACACTCATAGTGTAAGGTTTGGAACGTATAGGTGAAAAAACCTGACGCCTCACCATGAGCAACTCGCCGTCCCACGACTTCACTAACATCCGGATGGTAGTAGTGTCACCCCTGTATGGCACCTGAGTATCAAATGATACCTCCCTACCATCCAACACCATGTCATCAGCATTAAAGTTACTATTATCTCCCCCGTCTTCTTGGTTTGGTGCATCATCCTCACCACTACCATCATCATTATCATCAACATCGTCGTCGTCGTCATCATCATCATCACTATAATCGTTGTTATCGTCGTCGTCTTCGTCAACATCCATCCAGTCCCAATAGTGCGCCTCAGGTGATGGCGACGTGGCCTTGATGACGCGCTTCTCTTTGGTAACGACAGGCTTGCCATCGTCGTCCTCGGCGAGGTGGAAGGCGAGAAGTTCTTCATCACTGGTGATCCCATAGAGCCGCTCCCCAACGAACGCGACGTCGAAGACACGAAAGTAGCGCATTACATACGTACCCTTCCCGGGACGGCACAAGACGACATTGCAATCCCGCTGCTGGTCACGACGGCGATGAGGTCGTCAGGCGTCGACGACCGCATCGCCACCCTGTAGATCTCGAACACCTCGGAGACGGTCCCGACGACGGCGTCCAGCTCCGGGAGCGGCAGCGTCGCGCCGGAGAAGGGGTTGAGCAGGAGGTACGAGTGCGCGTGCCTGACGTCGCGTCTAGGTCGTCCCTTGTACCACACGAACGAGAAGCCCTCGCTGCGGCGGCGGTACATGCAGTCTGTGCGGTCGAGGAGGAGCCAGCCGTCGGCGGCGGACCCGACGACGGTCACGCCGTCTGGCAGGCCGGGCATCGCCGTCCGGTGGAAGAAGGCCCTGTCGCCGACGGTGCAGAAGGAGCCGTCCCTCAGGACCAGCCACGGGAGCTGGCGCACGTGCAGCGCGGCGGCGGTGTGCCACCCGCGGCAGACGGCGCGGAACCGCGCGCGGTCGGCGGGGAACGGGAGGCGCACGAGGACCTGGCCTAGCAGCTCCGGCAGCAGGTCGCACCACGGACGGAGCGGCGGCGGCGAGATTGTTGCCATCGCGGTCGTGCAGTGTCGATCTGCCTTCCCGGTCGGCATGGACTTGGATACGATCGATCTATTAATCGACGCCGGGTCACCGAGGGGTGGATCGGTGTCGAGACGGTCTCGATCTCACCCATGTCGGGGAGGATCGGAGACGGTCTCCTTCCCGATCGGAAGTCGGGAATTGACGAGTGGCATCATATCGCGTCGTCTGGTGGTTATTGGACATCGGTTAGCACCCGTCACGGGTTTTAAACTTCTGTGTCGGCGATAGATGTCCCCATGGGCCACGGACCCAGGCTGGATCTACCTCGGCGGACGTCCGGCGCAATCGTGTGTTGGCTGCTTTCGAGGTGAACGGCTGTCACGGGAACTGAGGTTGAGCCCCTCATCATCTGGTACAGGCGTCTGGTCCGGGCCATTATGGTCATGCATGCATGGCACGTACCTAAAACCACTGGGCTCTCTCTCCTACCGATGTAGGACTGTAGGAGTACTTATATCGTTATCGGTTATCAGACTTCGACACACTGCATAATACAACACTACTTGCTGTTCTGATTGCTCGTTAGGGTCCGTTCAGCAGCAAAAGCAGCTGCGGAAGCTGTAAAAAGGTAGCACCGAACGGGCCTGTTCTAGCATCGGGGAGTAGTTATCAGAAGATAGGTTGTAGCTGTATGTATGTTAATTTAGGCTCACTTTTAGCAAGCCACACAACGCAGAACAGCTGCTTGGTTCACGCATAAGCTGCGGCAGGCACATACACCTTTTTCAGTGCAAATTCCTACCATAATTGTGGCGTCCACGCCTTAAGCGCTGTCGTCGTTGAACGTGGCTAGGTGTGGCTGTAAGCCAAACACGCCCTATATGTCTGATAGGTATAACAACACCTTTTAATTTCTTTAAACTCAAAGTACCGTAACAATTCAATGAAGCTAGTTGAGTGGAAAATTAGCGAGCTAAATGGTACATTGGCACCATTGGTCAGCAGTTGTACTCACATTCCACGTGCACTCAGTTGGCTAAAATTATTTGAGTCAGCTTAGCTACATCAAAAACTCTAAATGTTCTGATACTGCCTACATAAAAAGGTATAATTCTAGATTCAAATTGAATTAAAGTTACTTAATTTTAGCTAAATTTATAGAAAACATTATTAATATTTAAAACTTTAAGAACGTGTTTGGAACACAAGAATTTTATAAGATTCGCACAAGAATTTCATAGAAGTCAGTTTAATTTTATTGGAAAACGTAGAAACAGGAGAAGATCCCCATGTTCCAAACATGACCTAACTATTAACATACTATAAAAATTATAGTATATAATTAATCTAATTATACTTATTTAATATAATAAATATTGATACCTTTCTATATAACAAAGTTGATCAAATTGTAATAAAATATTTAACTTATGGGAAAGCAAGAATTTTAACATGAGGGAGCACCAGAGAGAACCATGAGAGAGTTACCAGTTTTTGCGTGCGTGTTCTGTACTCTAGGGAGAGAACAGGAGGTCAGGAGCAGAACAGTGAAGAGCAGACGGGCGACGGGCCCGCAACTACGCAAGGGAGACGCGAAAACCGCCGCGTTCCGTCCGTGATCGGGGCTTTTACATTTTTACCATTATTAAGATTGGCGCTCATCCGATTATCACTCTTAGAATGACACTTACAACTTTAGCACATGAGAGAAGTTTGAGTTTCTAATTTACCACATTTGTGCATGTGACAAGCCACGGCAGCCCGACATGTTGGCGCCCAGTCAGCAAGCGCGGGTAAAATGTCATCGCTGCCCCATGCCCATTTTCTTCATTACGCCGCATCCCACCCGCTCATTTCGTCCCTCGCTCATATCGTCCCCATCCCACCCGCCGCCACCGACACGTTCTTCCCCCGCGCCGCCGCCGCCTCCTGCTCCCCTCCCGTCGTCCCTGCGCCACGGTGACCGCATCTAGTGAGCGGGACCCCTGGTGAGCGCATTGAAGGTATGTGGCCTTACTCCCCCTTTGCACCCAGGTCCCGTGTCCATTAGGGTTTAGGGTTAGGGTTCATGGACGCTGACAAGTCATCCTCGGTTGATTGTTTCGTAGGCTTGTGATGTAGTGGGAGAGGTGGTGTCAACCCGTGTTACAATGGCTAGCAGCAGTGATTGTTGGTCGCAGAGGGTGGAGTCGTCCAGCGCCAGTAGGGCGTTGAGGAGGCAGGAACGAGGCGGGAGCTCCGTGCGCGCGCATGTTGTGGCGTATCCGGTTGGTAAAGAAACTAGGCTTGCTTTGATTCAATGTCCGGATTGCCATCTGGCCCGTGTGATCGAGCTTTGCGTCAAGCAGGACACTCCCAACAAGGGCCGGAGCTTTTTCAAGTGCCCCGGGAATGGGGTCAGTTTTGCTGTGTCTCCATCTCTCTTGCTTTCTTTGTTTGAAATCTAGAGTTTAACAGTCATGAAATGGTGTTTGCAGAATCCAAAATTGTGTGCATTCTACAGATTCCAGAAGGAGTACCTAGATGAGCTGATTGATAAGAAGATCGTCATTATCAACTGTAAGGAGGTCGAGGGCTGGAAGAAGGATCAGAGGGCAGTGAATATGCTAACCATGAGGAGAAGGACCTTGAGAAGAAGATGGAGAACCTAATGTGGAAAATGAACCGTTTCATTGTTGTTGTTGCAATTGTTTTGTTTGGAATTGTTGTTAGATCAGTTGTAATGACTTGATTTGTAGCAATGTGTTTGAAAATAAATTGAACATGATGTATGAACCATTTGCAATGAAACTTTGAACTGTGTTGTCCTCTGGTTGTTGCGATTATAAAATACCTATTGTATCACAATTTGGTATAATTTGCTTTATAGTCCAGATAACCTTGTGCTATTTGATTCATTTGAGAACTGAAAGTCTGGAAGTGATGTTGCATTGACATGCATTGGAGGCTTAGACAACACCCTGCCTTGTGTATCTAGCTGTATACAGCTACTTGTCATCACAAAAAGGTCGCAGAAGGAGGTTGTCTCATGTATGCCCAAAATTTGCTACCTGTATCATGTTAAGTTATGCTGACAAAGATGTTATGCATGCACTTTGCATTTTAACAATGCAAATAATAGCATACCTTTAAATTCATCCTCCCACACACCATAGTTATTTGTGAATGAAAGGTCAAGCCCAATGAGACCTACAGTGAGACCTTTCTTAGCTGACTCTGAAGCTAGAGAAAGACCAGCAGGACCACAACCAATGATAACCAAATCAAGTACTATGTTTTCATCATATATGGCCATACAGATAGCAAATTCTGGGCATACAGATAGAGTTCAGCGCCCATTACACATAACAAGTTCAACTTTGGGCATTACATGCCGTTTTTGTTCCCATCATTACATAATATTGTTCTTGCAAAATAATTAAAGTTCATGATCTTGGCAAAACAAGACCAGTCAGGCTCCTGTCTTTCTCTTTCCTGCTCTTGTCTTGTGCGGTGTCTTCTTCACCTTAGTTGCCAACTGCTTTTTCCTAGGAGTCATCTTCCTAGCTGGTTGCACTCCAACCTCCAGTGCATCTTCAACAAATAAGGACCTGTGGAAAATAAAGTTTGATTAATGATTGATTTATTACACAGGTAATCCATTATCAATTATCATGCTGTCATAGGAAGAAGAGCAGTACCTCCTAGCTGTTGTGGTCTGAATAACTATCTCTGAGAGCTCAACTTCTAAAGGCATCACCTCCATCACTTGTTCATGTGCTTGAGTTGCTGAAAATTCATCCTTTCTGCTTGCTGCTTTGCTTTGGGTTGCTTCCCTTCTTTGCTTCTTTGCTGGTGCTTCTCGCTTCTTTCCTTCTTCTTTGCCGCCATTGCTTCCCTTCTTCTTTGTTGCCTTTAGCTCTAGTTCTAGAGCCTCCCTCTTAGCCTTTGCTGCTGCCTCCCTTGCAATAGCTGCTCTGGTCCTTAGAGTTGATGCTTCCTCAGCAGTGGTACCTTTTTTGCCTTTTTTCCTCCCAACCTTGATTGTGGTCTTCTTTGCTCTCTTCATGCAATAATGATAGGATTAGTTTCATATTGTAATGTAACAAATAAAGAAGAATTGAGAAGGTACCTTTTCTTGGTGCCAGTGAGTGGACATTTCCAGCTACCACCCATATGACCATACTCACTGCAGTTAGGACACCTCACTTGCCTTGTTGTTTTACCACCTGTCTCCTTTGCAGACTTGATCCTATTTTTCCTCAGTCTTCCTACTTCTCTCTTCTTCTGGCATGGAGGGTGCAGTTTGAACCCTTTGTCTACCTCAGGCCACTGGTTCCTATTAGTGATATTAGGAATGATACCCTCATATGCTGCTTGAAACCTCTGAACTGAATAATACTGATCCACAAATTTGGCTATATCTAGTTGCCTAGTGCTAGTAATCACAACCAAGGCATGGGGACATGGTTGACTAGTTATCTATCACTGTCTACATGTGCAAACTTTGTCAACTAGGTACACAACATGCCTTCTCACTTCTTCATCCTTGTAGATCTCTGTAACCTCAGCCTGATTTGGGTGCCCCTTGGAAATGGTCAGGTGTCCAAGTCCCTTGGATGCTGCATTTAGTTGATGGATGATCCTAGGCAATATACCTGGTGGGAGGGCCCTTGAAATTTTCCTCCTTTTGGCAAACAAGACCATTATCTTCTCTCTGATTGCATCTACCATGCAATGCACAGGAAGGTCTTTGTGCTCTTTGATCCAAGAATTCCATGATTCTGCTAAATTGTTGTTGATATAGTCACACTTGATGTGTTCTGAGAATTTACTTCTAGCCCACAGAAAAGGATGATGCTCTGTCAGCCATTTCTGCACATCTGGACTAGCTTGGAAGACTTTATCAAAAAAGTACTTGAATTTGTGAGGTGAGTAAGCTCTAGCTGCAGGCCACATGTTTTTGCCATACACATCACCAGTGTAGTATTTCTTCATGTTCTCCATTAAGTGCCTAAAACATTCTCTCGTCTCTGTTTGTGGAAATACTAGTCTAACAGCTGACTCCAACCCCTTACATTCATCAGTGCAGATAGCTAGCTTATCCATGGGTCCAATGGCCTTCCTAAGTTGCTCCATAAACCAGACCCAGTTTTCCTTTGTCTCTGACTCAAACAAACGAAAGGTCAGAGGAAACATCCAATTATGGCCATCTAAAGCTAAGGCTGTAGGCATGTGGCCATTCCACATCCCATTAAGTGCAGTGGAATCTACACTTACGTAAGGCCTGCAGCCATTCAAGAATCCATCTATACTAGCCCTGAATGCACAGAAGAATCTGCTAAACCTAATTTCCCCATCCTTAGGATCAGTGACAGTGGCTATCTCTACAACACTTCCAGGTGATCTCAGCTCTATCTCAGCCTTAAACCTAAACAAATAATCGAAAGAATCATTTCATTTACCAAATAACTTATATGATGCTCTCTGCCTCCCATTGTGCACTGTCTGGTAGGGGATGCCAATCTTGTACTTATAATTTAGCTCTTCTTTAAGTTCTTTATCCCCCATTTGTGGGTTCCTCTTGAGGTAGGGGATTGCTCACTCAGCCATCCAAGCTATAGATGTTATCCTGCTAACAACCCTTTGTGTAGATGCACAGTTATAGACCCCCTGATTGATTTGAATTTGCATAATAAAAACAAAAGGACATGAGGATAACAAAAAAACAACATTCAACAAACACAGAAAAAGATGTTATTCATCAATAAAAAAAATTGTACCCTGACACTGCCATCATGTTGGGTTCTAGCTCTAAGAATCCATGGGCAGCCTAGAGCAGCACAATTAGCCCTGAACATTTCTTTGTCTGGATGCTCAGTATCATACTTAAACTCCTTAATTATAGCATGCTGCCTAACAGCTAGCCTAAACTTAGTCATGTTAGGATAGCATGTGCCAACACTCATATCAAGATTGTCCCTGTCCCATTCATGCATTGGTTCTACATCAATTGTATCATCAACATTAACAGCTGCGTCATTCATATCTGCCTGCATCTCTGCTGACATAGCTGGAATGTGTACCTCTTCTCTAGATCCTTCTACTGTTGTCTCTGACTCCATGAACCCCATTACCTCATAAACCTTGTCCTCATCAGCAACCTCTTTTGCTAAACCATCATCATCAGGCTGCCCTATTATTGTTAGAGTAGTCTAGTCAACTGCTATAGGCAAATCAGTAGGTGTTTCTGCTGGGGAACTGTAGGTATCAAAATAACCTTCAGCATCATCATGCACAACACGTGAGCCACCAGTTGGCCCACTTGTGACACCAGAGACACATCTACCTTTAGAAGCACCAGAGCTGACATTTGCATTAGAACCATCCGTCCTCACAACATCCACTGCAATAACAGCCAATCTCTCATCCCATCTGTCCTTAATCAACTGTTGGAAATGCTCATCCCTCCTAATCTTTCACTTAGACCTAGTATCTTGGTCAACAACCCACACTGCAAGTGTTTGAGTTGCCCCCTAGATTATCTTTGTGGCTAAATCCTCCTGGAATTGAGCCATAGAATACTGACAGTTTCTATCCAACCATAAGTCATGCTGCTGCTCTGCCATTTCAACTAGCCCATACTCACCATCAGCCATGAATTTAGCAACCTTAACGACTAGTCTAAACGCATTGCCAGGATCGATCCTGGCATCATGGTAAACAATGAAAGAAATGAGGAGTTAGACGGTACCCAACTCCTCCAATTCTGCCTACACTGCTAGGTTGATTAAGCTCTTACCAAAGAGGGCAATCACTGCTGCTAGCCATTGTGACACGGGTTGACACCACCTCTCCCACTACATCACAGGCCTACGAAACAATCAACCGAGGATGACTTGTCAGTGTCCATGAACCCTAACCCTAAACCCTAATGGACACGGGACCTGGGTGCAAAGGGGGAGTAAGGCCACATACCTTCAATGCGCTCACCAGGGGTCCCGCTCACCAGATGCGGTCACCGTGGCGCAGGGACGGCGGGAGGGGAGCAGGAGGCGGCGGCGGCACGGGGGAAGAACGTGTCGGCGGCGGCGGGTGGGATGGGGACGATATGAGCGAGGGACGAAATGAGCGGGTGGGATGCGGCGTAATGAAGAAAATGGGCATGGGGCAGCGATGACATTTTACCCCCGCCTGCTGACTGGGCGCCAACATGTCGGGCTGCCGTGGCATTACACATGCGCAAATGTGGTAAATTAGAAACTCAAACTTCTCTCATGTGCTAAAGTTGTAAGTGTCATTCCAAGAGTGATAATCGGATGAGCGCCAATCTTAATAATGGTAAAAATGTAAAAGCCCCGAGCACGGACGGAACGCGGCGGTTTTTGCGTCTCCCTTGCGTAGTTGCGGGCCTGTCGCCTGTCTGCTCTTCACTGTTCTGCTCCTGACCTCCTGTTCTCTCCCTAGAGTACAGAACACGCACGCAAAAACTGGTAACTCTCTCATGGTTCTCTCTGGTGCTCCCTCATGTTAAAATTCTTGCTTTCCCATAAGTTAAATATTTTATTACAATTTGATCAACTTTGTTATATAGAAAGGTATCAATATTTATTATATTAAATAAGTATAATTAGATTAATTATATACTATAATTTTTATAGTATGTTAATAGTTAGGTCATGTTCGGAACATGGGGATCTTCTCCTGTTTCTACGTTTTCCAATAAAATTAAACTGACTTCTATGAAATTCTTGTGCGAATCTTATAAAATTCTTGTGTTCCAAACACGTTCTTAAAGTTTTAAATATTAATAATGTTTTCTATAAATTTAGCTAAAATTAAGTAACTTTAATTCAATTTGAATCTAGAATTATACCTTTTTATGTAGGCAGTATCAGAACATTTAGAGTTTTTGATGTAGCTAAGCTGACTCAAATAATTTTAGCCAACTGAGTGCACGTGGAATGTGAGTACAACTGCTGACCAATGGTGCCAATGTACCATTTAGCTCGCTTACTTGTCGCTAATTTTCCACTCAACTAGCTTCATTGACTTGTTACGGTACTTTGAGTTTAAAGAAATTAAAAGGTGTTGTCATACCTATCAGACATATAGGGCGTGTTTGGCTTACAGCCACACCTAGCCACGTTCAACGACGACAGCGCTTAAGGTGTGGACGCCACAATTATGGTAGGAATTTTCACTGAAAAAGGTTTATGTGCCTGCCGCAGCTTATGCGTGAACCAAGCCGCTGTTCTGCGTTGTGTGGCTTGCTGCAAGTTAGCCGTGGTGTACCACAACAGGGAACCAACACACCTCCACAGTATCTCTAGTTCTCTACCTTTATGTGAACTTTACGTTCTGAGCTAAAAAAAAGTGAGCCTAAATTAACATACATACAGCTACAACCTAAACCTATCTTCTGATAACTACTCCACCGATGCTAGAACAGGCCCGTTCGGTACTACCTTTTTACAGCTTCCGCAGCTGCTTTTGCTGCTGAACGGACCCTAACGAGCAATCAGAACAGCAAGTAGTGTTGTATTATGCAGTGTGTCGAAGTCTGATAACCGATAACGATATAAGTACTCCTACAGTCCTACATCGGTAGGAGAGAGAGCCCAGTGGTTTTAGGTACGTGCCATGCATGCATGACCATAATGGCCCGGACCAGACGCCTGTACCAGATGATGAGGGGCTCAACCTCAGTTCCCGTGACAGCCGTTCACCTCGAAAGCAGCCAACACGATTGCGCCGGACGTCCGCCGAGGTAGATCCAGCCTGGGTCCGTGGCCCATGGGGACATCTATCGCCGACACAGAAGTTTAAAACCCGTGACGGGTGCTAACCGATGTCCAATAACCACCAGACGACGCGATATGATGCCACTCGTCAATTCCCGACTTCCGATCGGGAAGGAGACCGTCTCCGATCCTCCCCGACATGGGTGAGATCGAGACCGTCTCGACACCGATCCACCCCTCGGTGACCCGGCGTCGATTAATAGATCGATCGTATCCAAGTCCATGCCGACCGGGAAGGCAGATCGACACTGCACGACCGCGATGGCAACAATCTCGCCGCCGCCGCTCCGTGCGTGGTGCGACCTGCTGCCGGAGCTGCTAGGCCAGGTCCTCGTGCGCCTCCCGTTCCCCGACGACCGCGCGCGGTTCCGCGCCGTCTGCCGCGGGTGGCACACCGCCGCCGCGCTGCACGTGCGCCAGCTCCCGTGGCTGGTCCTGAGGGACGGCTCCTTCTGCACCGTCGGCGACGGGGCCTTCTTCCACCGGACGGCGATGCCCGGCCTGCCAGACGGCGTGACCGTCGTCGGGTCCGCCGCCGACGGCTGGCTCCTCCTCGACCGCACAGACTGCATGTACCGCCGCCGCAGCGAGGGCTTCTCGTTCGTGTGGTACAAGGGACGACCTAGACGCGACGTCAGGCACGCGCACTCGTACCTCCTGCTCAACCCCTTCTCCGGCGCGACGCTGCCGCTCCCGGAGCTGGACGCCGTCGTCGGGACCGTCTCCGAGGTGTTCGAGATCTACAGGGTGGCGATGCGGTCGTCGACGCCTGACGACCTCATCGCCGTCGTGACCAGCAGCATGGATTGCAATGTCGTCTTGTGCCGTCCCGGGAAGGGTACGTATGTAATGCGCTACTTTCGTGTCTTCGACGTCGCGTTCGTTGGGGAGTGGCTCTATGGGATCACCAGTGATGAAGAACTTCTCGCCTTCCACCTCTCCGAGGACGACGATGGCAAGCCTGTCGTTACCAAAGAGAAGCGCGTCATCAAGGCCACGTCGCCATCACCTGAGGCGCACTATTGGGACTGGATGGATGTTGACGACGACGACGACGATAACAACGATTATAGTGATGATGATGATGATGATGGTGAGGATGATGCACCAAACCAAGAAGATGGGGGAGATAATAGTAACTTTAATGGTGATGACATGGTGTTGGATGGTAGGGAGGAATCATTTGATACTCAGGTGCCATACAGGGGTGACACTACTACCATCCGGATGTTAGTGAAGTCGTGGGACGGCGAGTTGCTCATGGTGAGGCGTCAGGTTTTTTCACCTATACGTTCCGAACCTTACACTATGAGTGTCAAGGTCGTTAAAGCAGATGTCAACATGGGTGAGTGGATTTCAGTCGCTCAAGATGGGCTCGCCAAAGATGAGGCCATCTTCCTTAGCCGAGGCTTTTGCAAATCTACTATAGTGTTTGGAGATATACAAGCAGGTTTCATATATTTTGATGATGCCAATGATGTGTTCGACACTAGATTATGGACTTGTAGGCCATTTAGATTGCCATGGTCGAGAAGTTTGTTCACATGGCTGACATGGATTTTCCCACCAAAATTGGTGGTGTAGCAATTATAGCAGACACAAAGTGATATTTTTTCTGTTAGCCATTTACAAAGTTAGATTAGAGTACATACATGTTTTAAAAATTCAAGGTGTTACTAGTGGCCCACTGTATCTTTTTAATACATAAGGACATGTTTAATTAATGAGAAGTGCTTATGTATGAGTGCTCGTTAAGCAATATAGTATACATATAAGTTAGTTCCTATAAATGCAAATAGGGGTTGAATGGGATCAACCATCTATTATTTTTATTTTATTTTTGCAGAGAAACAATGGAGCAAAGCTCCCAGCACCGAACAATATATTAAAAAAACAAATAGAAGTTACATGGCTGTTAGCTAAGAGAAGGACAAACCGTCCAAGGAGGAAAAGAAGGTACCAAATTACAGAGATGCTAGCCATTAGATAATTACATGATGGTGACGGGTTAAAACGACATAAGTGGAGCTTAACCTCACTTATAAAACGTTGCTTCCAAGCCAAAGGAGAAGGGACCTTGTGGTTGAATATGCAATCGTTACGTTCCTTCCAAATGCACCAGGCGCTCTAAAAAAATCCATCAAGAAAGGTTGAGCCTTTTTCTGCGCTATCATCTGACAAATGCTAACCTGAATCTTCCACTGATTGTCAAGGATGAACCATCTAGTTGCACTTGAAGTACATTGAAAAAAAAGAGATGCAAAGCTATCTTCTCGATATCATCATGACATAGGGTGTGTTTGGTTAGTTTCCTAGACCAGCCTGGCTAGCAAAACTAAGACAGGCTAGCTTTAGCCTGCTCCAACTATGCCAATTCACAGTTGTTTAGTTGTCTGCATTGTGTTAGTCCGGCTACACATATGTTTGTTAAGCCTTTTACCTGTGTGTCATTAAAAAAAATTATAATTACACACAAGCCATTAAAAAAGTTAACCGCACACAGGTGCCACTGCTCTAAACTTCTTTGCCTTACAAGCCATTCCATCCAAATGTAGCGCTAACTGTGGCTAACGGATGGACAAAAGATAAGCATGCCCTCAGGAAGAAGAGGCTATCTGATGGTGCTTTGGCGCCAATCTAATGGGCCTTTGGTGCAAAAAACTCTCCCTAGGTGGCTCCTATAAATAGACAACACTGAGATCCCTCCCCCACTCAGTTCTCTCTCCACTCAGTTCCCTCTCCAATGGCTCTTATCCAGGATGGTGGTCAGACTGGTGGAGTAGTGCAAGATAGTGTTATGCAGCAGCTCAGATGAATTAAGAAGCTGGTCTTTGTTGCCATCTACCTTGCCTTGTATGCAATTATGAAGAAGTAAGGTCCTATGTATGTGTGTGTCACTGTATTTGTATGCTTGAATAAATGAATGAATGAGTCAACGATGGATGGATGAATGCATCCTAGAAATATAAAATTCTTAGATTGTTCATTCACCAACATGCAAACCTAATATATTATAAACATAAGTAGTGCTCATGGTTCAGATTGTTCACCAACATGCAAAACATAAACCACAATTTCATCTAACACCAGTAGTTTGTCCAGAGCAAGTACCATAAACTATCAATGCAAAATATTACAGCTCCATCACATCAGCATTTCATACCTTCCAAATGATTTCATACCACAAAAGCCAAGGTGTTTTCTAGGAGTATAGCACCAATGCATCATCAAAACAACATGGTGGAGTCACCTTTATTCATTCCAGCAGCAGTTGATTCTTATTTCTGGTAATTGCAGCTGGGCTGGAAGGGTCAGCTGGAGCTGGTGGGTTCACCCCCTTTAAGGCATTCTGTCGAACAGCTGGTGGGCACACCCCTCGCCACCGTCCTCCTCCTCGCCGAGCACGCCGAGCACATCGAGCACCAACACGCATGCCCCATCCGTGCCCTTGCGGTGCTCCTCCTCCGGCCCCTCGCCATGGCTGCGGTCGCAGCACCTCCGCCCCGTGGTCGTAGTGCTCCTCTCCATGGCCCTCGCAGTGCTCCTCCTCCATCCCCTTGCCATGCGCGCTAGGCTGTTGCTGCTGCTTGCCATGGCCGCTGCGCTCGAATGTTGCTGCTGCTTGCCATGGCCGCTCCGCTAGGCTGCTGTTGTTGCTTGCCATGGAGCTGACCTCGCGTGGCGTGGATCTGGATCGGAGCACCGCTCTGTGCGAGCGGGGGCCGTTGGGGCAGGGGCTGCGAGGATGGCGGAGCTCGTGCGGAGGCCGGCGGCGTGAAGCTCGTGCACTGACGGACGGACGGACGGATGGACAGCGCAGTGCTCGGTCGCGAGGCTGCACGTACGGACGGAAGGCGCGGAGCTCGAGCATGGGACAGACGATTTGAGCTTCGCTTCGAGTTCGACAGGCCTTCGTGTGGTGGCCGGGCGATGGCGCCATGAGAGGCAGTGGCGCTTCGCATGATGGGCGACGGTGGCGCGGAAGGTGCGGTAGCGATGAAGAAGAAACACCGGTCACGACGGAAGGTGAGGGGAACAGGCCGCGTCGCTGGTACAAGCCTAGCTTGCTGGGAATGGTGGGATCGAGCGTTTCCAGGCCAGGCCAGCCCCCCTCGTTTGTATTAGTTGGGCTAGGCTTAGAGGCTTAGCAGGCAACCAAACACGAGAAAACTGTATTACAAAAGTCTGGCTAGATCCTTAGCAAGTAACCAAACACACATATAGTACACATGTATAGCTCATATTAAGCCTATAACTTTAATAACACATAGGCCCCGTTCGCTTCGCTGAAAAAATAACCTGAAACACTGTTCCGGCTGATTTGTTGTGAGAGAAAAATACTGTTTCAACTAAAAAAAATAAGCTGAAAACTACGGATTATAAGAGAAGCGAACATGACCATATTGAGCAATGGTGTTAATTAAATTAAGCATTCTCCATCTTGTATCCGTAGGACCGTCTCCAAAATTTGGGGCCCCGGAGCGAACTACCAGTGAGGGTCTAAACTTTACCGTATTCAAATGTAATATAAAAAAAAAAAAATAGAATTAATTTAGAGCTTCAATCAGTTACACCTAAAAATTACAGAGGGCTTTTGTCCAACTCCTATCGTGTGAGCGCCCGCCCTCGATTACGAGTCTTCGAGTCCGAGCCCTTGGTGTGCGCGCCCGTCTACAAACTCCGTATTGCCTCACCCCGCTTGCTTGCCAGGCTGCGAGCGTGAGGTGCCGGACCTACCAGGTGATAGAGGATTCCTCTGGGAGAGTCGCCAGGATAGCCCGCTCTTGCCCGGCAGCACCATCCGCCATTCCAATTCCAAGGTGTTGGGCTTTCAGTTGTAAGCTCTCCATGTTTTCTTATGAGTAAATGCACCAGCGGTCCGTAAACTTGTACCGATGTGTCATCCCGGTTCCTAAACTCGTAAATCGACCGTTTAGGTCCTCAAACTTGTTCATCTGTGTCATCTCGGTCCTTAAACTTTTTCGGTTGTGTCATCCCGGTTCCTAAACTTGCAAATCACCCATTTAGGTCCTCAAACTTGTTCAGTTGTGTCATCCCGGTCCCTAAACTTGGTTTTGAGTCTCATCTGGGTCAAAACAGGGTGATCTAAAAACTTTATATCAAAAAATAATTCATAACTTTTTCATATGAACTTGAATGAAGACAAACTTTATATCAAGATTGAAGCCCTCGACGGGATCTATGACTTTGGAGATGAATTTTTTAATTAAAATTGTTTACGGTCCCAAAATATTATTGTATGTTTATAGATTTTGAAATTTGAAATTTAAAATTAAATTTTGGGACACTAAATGACTTCAAACAAAAAACTTTTAGCTACAAAGTTGTAGATCGTATTGAGAAGTATAACTTTCATATAGACTATATCAATATCCAAGATTGTTTGATAATTTTAAATTTCAAATTTTAAAATTTATAAACATACAATAATATTTTGGGACCCTAAACAGTTTTAATTCAAAAACTTTTCAACTACAAAGTCGTAGATCGCGTGGAGGGCTTCAATTTTGATTTAAAGTTTGTCTTCATTCGAGTTTATATGAAAAAGTTATGAATTATTTTTTAATATAAAGTTTTTAGATCACCATGTTTTGACCCAGATGAGACTCAAAACCAAGTTTAGGGACCGGGATGACACAATTAAACAAGTTTGAGGACCTAAACGAGTGATTTGCAAGTTTAGGGACCGGGATGACACAGCCGAACAAGTTTAGGGACCGAAATGACACAGATGAACACGTTTGAGGACCTAAACGGTCAATTTGCGAGTTTAGGGACCGGGATGACACAGCGGTACAAGTTTAGGGACCGCTGGTGCACTTTACTCTTTTGTTATCCAAACAGCTTTTGTAATTTATATTTCTTAGAAATAAATTCTATGTGTAATTTATCCAATAAATTTCAAGGCACTTCAATTCAATATGAAAAGTAATTGCTGGAACAAGAGTCTTTGTTATAAATGTTTGCATCCTCATATGAAGCACATCCTTGTTAATCTCATACCGTCCCAAAATCAGCTTCGGATCCATTTTTTAACCCAAACACTCTTCCACCATCAAATCTGAAGTCACCAAAATAGATTCAGGGACCAGATTCACGGATTCCATGGTGTACCTCAAGGGGTGCTCTAAAAACATAAGTTTCGTACATCCTCGTGAAAAAGATGTTAGTAATAGAGATGACCCTAATAGCCACTACTTGCCTAGCCTATGCAATACAAGCAAGCCCCTACGCAATTCTATATATGCAATTATACTTGTAGATTTCTTAATATGTTAGTCTAAGCCTCAAGCCACTTGCGTCATCGTAGGCGTGAGCAAAAATTCATGACCCTGGTGCAACGCACGGGCATATATCTAGTATGTAATTAAAGGCTTTGCTTGCTAGGATAGATATTTTGACAAAATAAGTGGCCTTCTTGTCTGCTCAAATCGAGACCATGTTGGCATGTGGTTTAGTTTGGGAAACAAAGTGAAATATTTGTAGTGTGCTAGTGCTAGACTGCTATGATATGCTAGTCGTCTGTATAGGGGCACTACGTACCACTGAAATCATGTTCTTGC